AGTTTTATAAAAAGTGAATCTATAGGTACATGATATGTCAGGTATATCAGAATTCAAGCAGTTCATTCTCTTCAACAGGCTAGATTGCCTGGAAATGCAACCATCAGTTCAAGTGAAAACCCAGCAGAAAAGTTGAGAGAAATCATAGATGATACTCTCGAGTATAATAGAATATCTTGCTAAAAAACACCAGTTGTTTTTTATAAAATCTACATATCAATCAAATACTGCCACAACTAAAATACTATTATTTCGAGAAATTTCATTTTGAAATTTTGTAAGTCTCTATTATCATTATTTTGTTTTTGACATACTCTTTATATTTTATTTAAAAGCTTCGATATTTTGCTGTTAAATAAAATGATTACGATTATAAAAGTGAGTTGTTGCATAGTTGTAAAAAATTTGGGTGTTTTTGAAGAAAATAACTCGAATTGAGGCAGTTTTAGACACAGTTTGTGGCTACATTTTAAATGATTTATCTTTAAGGATATTTTTGTTTGTGGTGGTATTTAAAGTAAAACCGTAATGATATTTTGCATCCATTGAACCAAAAATGTAATTGCTTTGTTTTTTGACTTGTGGCGTTTTTTGATTGAGCCATCGATATATCTACTTTGGAAATCAAGCATAAAATTTGTAAAATTCAAACAAATTTCAATAGACTAACATTGGTTGTTTTATTTAAAACAACAAAGTAAGGCATATTTTTTAATTTCTATATAATTTCCTTTAATAAATTATAGGTAAACAAGTTATCAATTTCTTTTTTATTCAATGTATTGAGAAGTAAAATCTTTTTATATAAAAATATAATTTATGCTCTTCTAATAAATTGTCATATTTAGGTTACATTATAGCACTTTATAAATATCTATGCAAAAAAAGTTAAAAGGCTTGATTTAAAAAAGATATATCTCTGCGTCTTAGGTAAGAAATCAGCGAACTTAGCTATCCTCTAGTAATCTAATATAATAATATGTACCTAGTCATTGTTGTATTCGTTTATTATTTTTCACCAATCTAGCTTTATCATCGTTCACCATTTAAGGTTTTAGTGAACCTTTGCAATATTGGTACCTTTTTATACTATTTAGCTAATTTTGTCCAATCGTTCAGTGCTTTCTAGGTAGCTTCTTCTATCCCACATGTGTACTTGTGTTTGTGATATAAGGTGTGTTCTTTTATTCAATAATTGTTCCATCAGTGATTGATGTAATTTATCTATTCTGCAATCGTTTTATATTTGAACTCTTATATTTTAGGTTAACTTAAATGATTGATTATCCTCACCATTCGTCTATCACATATCCATCGGCTTTTAAAGCCGATGGATGCCTTGGCTCATTGGTGAACTCACCGCTGGAAAAAAGAATGATTGACACATACAATCGTCTTTCCATCACTTAATTTACGAACGGTTTGCTGCAAGCGCTGGATACAGCACTGAATAAAAGAACACGCCTTCACCTACCTCTACTTTTGTGCTATTGGTACTTGATTTCAAGAACATTTTAATAATAAATTTATATAAATATTTTGTTTTATTTGAAATTTTCATGTCTCGATTGAGATTTTACTATAGCCTCAATTTCAGCCTCTCTGTATTACATTACACAATGTGTGTCCACGAATGGACTTAATTATACTTGTAAAAATATTTATTTTAAATTAAAGAAAAAGTTATTTTTCATAATTTCTCAATGTGAATCGAATTTATTTAACAAGCAGGAAATTATGAGGAATTACTTTTTTAATTTAAAATAAATATTTTCACAAGTATAGTTAAGCCCATCCGTGGACACACTGTATAATGCTGTAGATCTAATTCACATTATAACATCAATAGAACGTTTCAGAGCAACTTTCGGGGTAAGTACCGTAAAAGTGCTAGTGTGATGTTTTTCGAACTTCACTTTGTAACTTCTGTGAGATGTGCTATAAAAGTCTTGCCGTTGCGGACATTCGGTAGTTGCAGGGAGATAAAGGTTACATTTACAGTACATTGCATGCGAGCTTAAAGAGCCTAAAATTGCAGCTTATTAACGTAGATAGGATGTTTTTGTGCTAGCTGGGAAGCAATGGTGCGCCAATCAAGAGGATGGCACGAAAACTTCCAACCTCGAAGATAGCATCAAACTTCTGCTGTCAACACGCTTCCCTGACCCGGTCATCACAGACGTGGCCGACTGGGCAGAGGAAGAATACAATCCATCTGTCTATGATTGGCAAACTGCCAAACACATTGTAGACGATGAAAAAATTAGATGGGCAATATCCAGCTTCTCTCCATTTAAATCGACAGGACCTGACGGTATCTATCCAGCCCTACTTCAGTGGGGTCTGGAAGAACTCACACTGCACCTGGTGGGTAAATTCAGATCCTTGTTGGCTCTGAGGTATATCCCCAAAAAATGAAGAGAGGTAAAAGTGGTATTTATACCCAAACCTGGAAGGATGGATTACACTGTCCCAAAAACATACCGACCAATTAGTCTGACATCGTTTTCCATGAAGGCATTGGAAAGGCTATGCGAAATGTACATAAGGGATGCGGTGATTACAACAACACCACTACACCCAAACCAACATGCATACACCCCAGGCAGATCTACTGATTCAGCCCTTCATCTAGTTGCTGGCCGGATAGAAAGATCCCTGGACAATAAGGAGTCCGCCTTGGGTGTTTTCATAGATATAGAAGGTGCTTTTGATAAAACCACATTCCCAAAGATAATACACTCACTAACCAATAGGAATGTTCTACAAATGGTTAGTGGGTGGATACATAACATGCTCTTAAAGCGAGCAGTAAACATAAGTGTAGAAGATGTGAATATAAGAGGCTTGGTTGCGAGGGGATGTCCACAGGGAGGGGTGCTATCACCTCTACTGTGGAATATGGCCCTCGACACCCTCATCAGCCGCCTCAATAATGACAGTCACTACACAATAGCATATGTAGATGACCTAGTCATTCTGCAAACAGGGAATTTTGAGAACATACTCTACGAAAGAATGCAAGTAGCTCTAAAAATTATAGAACAGTGGTGCAAGGACCATTCACTGTCCAATCCTAAGAAGACAGAAATGGTCCTTTTCACAAGGAAAAGGTTGAAAATGGGATTAAAACCTCCAGAGCTCCTAAACACAAAACTAAACTTTGCAACAAAGGTGAAATACCTAGGTCTCACCTTTGACAGCAAGTTAACATGGAACTCGCATTTAGAAAACAGAGTTAAAAGAGTATACGTTGCTTATGAACAAGCCGCCGAATCGTGTGGCGCACCTGGGGTTTTCCCCCAGAGTCGTCACATGGACTTACACGGCTATCATAAGACCTATGCTAACATACGGTGCAGTTGTCTGGGTACCTAAACCACAAAAATTATCAGCTATCCGTTAACTAGAACAAATTCAAAGAACAGCATGTCTCAACATAACATTGCAGGAGCCATGAAAACAACACCGACTAGAGCCATGGAAGTCATTCTTAGTCTCACTCCCCTTGATATTTACATCAAGGAGGTTGCTCTGACGACAATGACACGCCTCCGCACGGTTGGAATATAACCTGATGTAGGATCTGGTGAGGCGAGACGTCACTTTTGGCAGGAAGCGCTGGATACGCTCCCACTGCTTCAAGCGAACATGGACTCCATCTCACCAAAATATATCTTTCATAAGCCATATAAAGTTACAATAAAACAAATAGAAGAGCCAGAAGTGGCAGGTACGATTCATATCTACACCGACGGTTCTAAAACAAAACAAGGCTCTGGATGTGGAATATACTCCAGATTCTCAAACCTATAAACATAAAATGGGCTGTGAGCAATAGTGTCGTCAGTGTAGTTCAAACAGAACTAACGGGGATCCTCATAGCAGCAAAAGAAATAACCAGAAACAATATCACTGGAAGAAACATATGCTCATCTATATACAGATAGCAGACAAGCACTACTCACCCTGAACAGACCACGAATTTATTCAGGGTTAGTACTAGAATGTCACGAAGCTTTGGCCGAAGTATCCATCAACAACGTGGTCACCTTAAGATGGAATAAAGGTCACGCCACATCGAAAGGTAACCGTCTTGCTGATTCACTAGCCAAGAAAGCAGCCAACCAAATACTTTTTGGACCTGGCCCTTCTATTGTCCTCACAAAATCGGTAGTGACAGACCTAATCAAAGAACACTCCCTTGTGAAATTCAAGGAAAGATGGGATGAAACAAGAAACTGCAGAGTTGCCAGGGAGCTCTTAAGTACGAAAGCATCTCCATATCATGGGGCTGTCAGAATCCGCATTCTGCAGAGGATGCGAACAAGAAGATAAGACCATTGAGCATATCCTTTACGATTGCTCGATGCTCTCATTTATTAGATTTGTGTTCGGCGAGTATCGGCTAGGCGACGTCAATTACATTAAATCTGTAGGCTGGTTCACGAGCTAGGAGGTGCCTATCTTCTCAGGAGGATGTACAATGGGCCTATTGTATACAGAGATTGTTCTCCTTTCCTCTACCCTCCATAGCTACACAGTATGAAGACTTCATAGTATACAGCATTTGTGTACTGTGTACTAGCTTCAAATAAAGCCTGTGATAAACTGTATTTCATCTGTTTGTTAAACGTCGCCCGTTACTTATCTATTTCATTTTATAGCAAGGGTGGTGGATGTTATATATATATTTCGTAGGTTCGGAGAGCCCTTCTTATTTTTGGAACGTATTTAAACTGTTAAAACTTAGTGTCATTAGTATATTACACACTTAACAACTTTACTACAAACTAACATTACATTTGACAAAGGATGTTAAAATAAAATGAAATCAAAGGCAAAAACACAAGATATACGAAAGATTGTTTCAATGACAAGAATTGACCTGGAATGATATCCAAGGGTAGGCAACTTTATATACACATGTGTATGTTGGGTTGCCGTAATAGTGTATTTGAGCTCTGTGCCACTAACAGTAAAGGGCCTCTTACTTTTAGATAGAAGATTTGAAAATGTCAAGAATGTCAAGATGTAAAAAAACGGTCAAATCAAAATAGAAAACATCTTGTTGTGGCGTGATTGTGTGTGTGTGTTTATGTTCCATTTTAATTTAAAACTTTAATAAGACTTAAGTAATTATTTGTTGAAAGCCCTGAAAAAGAATATAAAATGAGTAACTGGTCATCGGTACTTATTTCAGATGACGAAGAAATTTCACAAGATAATAAGGTAATAACTTTTTCAATACATTTTATTGAGTCACTTTTTTAACATATTTTAACAGAACGAAACTGATAGGTATAGCCTAGAGCAGTTGTTGGCAGACTCATTAGTCAACAGAGCCAAATAGCAACAAACGATTGAAATTTCTTTGGAGAGGCAATTTTTTTTACACTCAAACTATATAGATAGGTACATTATTGTTAACTTAATTGGGGTACTCTTATAATAATATAATAATATTTATTCGGCTTTGAGACATACATATTTACAATAATTTAAAAAGGTTAAAAAATGTATAAACTTATAAGACCTATTAGCCTTGTCAACACATACAATTTTAAAAAGTAGAGACATGTTACAATTGAGTTTAAAATAAAGTACAAATTAAAAAGAGTATACAATAGGACAAAAACATTAGACAATAATTATAATAGAGAGATACCATTACGGATCACAGAGTATCATTCATAAATACTGCATACCTAGGAATAATAATATGTTTTAGACGAAAGATATGCATACAACTTATTTTTGAATACATTAAAGATTTTTTCATTACCATTGACTTGAGTATATCTATTAAAACATGCAACACCTCTGTAGATTTCGGAATGCTGTCCAAATGAGAGTCTAGGATTTTAAAGTCATGCAGCTAGTTGTTCTTGAAGCCCCAGCCATGCATCTTATAACTTTTTTTTTAACACAAAAGGCTCGCTCCAGATGAGCTGAGCAGCCCCAAAAAATTAGACTATATACCATATGTTATTGAAATGTCTTCCCATGACTCCTTAATAATTATATTTTTAAAGATAAGCTTGTTACTGTCACTTAAATCCCTAACAAAAGATTGTGTAGTTTCTACCTGATTTGCTATTTGTAAGTTGAATTCACAGAGTTGTAGTGAATGGTCTGATAGGAAACTATTTTGAACAATAAAATTTTTATATTTAATATTTGTAAAAAGTGGATCAACTAAAGTTCATCTAATACTGGTGACCTGCGTTGGTTTTGTAACAATTTTGTACAGGCTAAATTCCCTAAAAATATTCTTAAGTAATTTTGTTTCATTACTATTAATAAGTAAGTCTACATTTATATCACCGCATACAGCATAATATCTAGAGGGGTTATAGTAAAAACACAAAAGGTTATATAACTATCAGTAAACAATTTGAAATCTGATTTGGGTGGTCTATAGAGATATATGACAAAAATGTCCTTATTTTTAAAGATAAATTTACAAATATTTATTTTGATAATTTTCTCAAAAGTAAAATTGCAGTATACAGGTTCTATTAATATACTACTTTTTGCATAAATAGAGACTCCATCTCTTGGGTATTTTATCCTACAATACTTAGTTATCAAAGAATAATCACAAAGCTCTAACATATTAATTTCATTAGTGTTTACTCTTTCGTTTTATTAATATCGAAAAACTTAATTTATAGTGTGTATTCATATTTTTAGGGAGTCACCAGAATAAAAAGAGAAAGAAAAGCCAAAACCAATTCTAAAATTAATACAAGTGTATTGATGATTTCAGATGATGATGATGATTATCAGCCAAATGGCAGCAAGGTAATTATTTGTCCATATTTTTTTGAACTGTTTCAAATAGAATCAGTTTAAAGTTCTAAAAAATTATCTGTTATTGATCTGAAAAACAAATAGCTTCAGATGAAGTGTTTACTGCTTTACTAGTTCACTATGAATGGAAATATTGAATTTATTTTAATATCAATTTTAGGAAACAAAAAGAATAAAAAAAGAAACTACAGCTAAAACCACTTCAAAAAGTGGTACAGATAAATTAATGGATATGATTTCTGATGATGATGATGATCAGCCAAAAGTCAAGGTGACTTTTTTGTTCTATTTACTAAAATAATGGTTTCACTGTATTTCTTCTAAAAATATGTTTGTAGGATTATTATGAGGGTGCCATAATTTTGAGATGTTTCATAATATTTACAATTTTTTTCAGGCATCAAATCGAAAGGCATTGAAAAGCAAAATCAAAAATGAAGATAATGATAATCAGCCAAAAGTCAAGGTGACCTTTTTGGTTCTATTTATTAAAAACTATTTTTAATTAGAGTTACAATACTGGTTTTATTGGATTTCTTCTAAAAATATGTTTGTAGAATTATTATTAGGGTGTCTTATTTTTGAGATGTTTTATAATATTTACATCTTTTTTAGGCACCAAATCGAACGGCATTGAAAAGAAAAATCAAAAATGAAGAATATGATTTGAAACCTAACTTATCAACAGATGCTAACAAACCAAAGGTGCAGTTATTTTATACCTTATAGTAATTTTCATTTTATGGGATGGAATAATTAACCAATATTCTTTATTTATCAATGTTTTTTTTTTTTAAATATTTTAGATTAAGAAACCCAAGACTGAGTATGCTACAACCAGTAAAGATGATGATGCGGATTCCAAAACTTTTTGGAAAGATCATGATTTGCTATCAGAAAGTATGAATTTAAACAAGAATGTTGCTAAAAATGTTATAAAGCTTCTTTTAGATGGAAATACTATTCCATTTATTGCTAGGTATCGAAGAGAAGCCACAGGTTAGCTTTGTTTTTAGTTCTTGTAATAATATTATTTTCTTATTTATTTTAAAAATTGGCAACACTTTTTTACATATTCTAGAAAATATGTCACCTGAGGTTCTGAGAGAAGTTAAAAGTGCTTTTGAAGATATCTGTGAGTTAAAACAAAAAATTACTACTGTCGTTTCTGCGTTGCAAAAAAGTGAAAATTTGACGGAAAATCTTGAAAGGGCAGTTAAATCAGTCAAAAGTTTAGAAGAATTAGAAATTATTGTAAGTTCTAAAATAATAATTTTTTTCTCAATAGTGTTAGATTCCAGAAATAACAAATAATACTTCCAATATATTTTATTATAAATTCTATCTCCTAATAATTTATAATTACATAGTTTTAGTGATTTTTCAACCAAATTTATTTTTATTTCAGTACGCACCATTTAAGCCAGAAGGAAAAAGATCTCTAGCAGAAAGAGCAAAAGCAATTGGCTTAGAGCAACCAGCAATTGATTTATTGCTTAATAGTGCTATAGTCAATTTAAACAATTACGTAAATAGTTCTACAGAAGAGTTGAACAGTGTGGCTAATATTGAAAAGGGTATATGTCATATCATAGCCCAGAAAATTGCAACGGATTCTGAGGTTCTTTCATTTCTGAGAGATTTGTAAGTATTATCGTAAATAAAAAATTTTAAAACATTTTTTTTGGACAATTTTAAAATAATACATTCATTGCTATACTTAAATAATTTTTAAATGATGGTGACTCATCTAGTGGATTCCACTGTGGTCAACCGGCAACAATGTAATTCTATTATGATTTTTAGAGCTCAACTTGCCGGGATTATTGGAAAATGAACTATTTGTAATGGTCGGTATAAGATTAATTTAACAAGATATACAGGGTGTCCTTTAAAATGTGTCCCAAAATTCTCAGGCAGATTCCTTAACCAAAAAATGGAAAAAAAGTTCCTATAGACCTATGTCCTAAAGTGCCCCCTAAGCGAGCAACAGCCTCTCGAAATCATTTTTTTTATTTTGATTTTTTGAATTTTCTTAAAAATGGAAACAAATAAAAGAACCAAATTTTGGCTGTTAAATATGATCAATAATAGTGACCTTTTGACACCTTCAAAAAGAAATTATTTCGTCAGGGGTGTACTTGGGAATTTTTTGAAAATTTTGATTATTCATAACTTTTTTGTGTTTTTGGTAATGACTTATCCATATTTTTTTTTACATTCTACATTGAAAACTACGTCAAAAAGGAATACTTGTTTGATCTCGATTGGAGCAGCCGTTTCCGAGAAAACATCATCCAAAGATATTCGTGCAGTTTAGGTTAATTTTCAATTTTGGCTGTTGTAGCCAAAAAGTTGGAAATCGAGGAACACGGCTTACATGTCCCTATCCTTACTTTTGAAGGTCTATTCAGTGGCAAACAATATTAGTTGATACAGGGTGATCAAAAATCGGATGTGATTTTGGATTTTTGATCACCCTGTATCAAATAATATGTATTTTATGTCACTGAATAGACCTTAAAAAGTTAGGATAGGGACTGTAAGCCGTTTTCCTCGATTTCCAACTGTTTGGCTACAACAGCCACCTGAATTTGAAAAAATGTGATTTTTGAGTAGCTGTAGATCCTTTACTATTCATATTAGATAACAAGTGTGATATATCATTGAAATCAGATTATCGAGCAGATTCTAAAAATATAAAAATATACAGGGTGTTCCATTTAAAAAACATAACTTTGATTTGGCACGGCCTTATGAAACACCCTGTCACATCGTAACTAATTTTAAAATGTGAAGCTTAAAGCTGCCTACTTTTATTATAACAGATCTACAGAGCTTCCTCACACTAATCAATCACCCTGTATACTATTTTTAGCTCTCTAAATAAAATTTAAAAATTTAGTTCCCATTTATTTATTATGAAGACCATAAGGTTTGTATTTAGCTGTTTAGAATAAAAAAGTAAAAATATGTATTTTTTTGGCGTTTTTGTGTTTCATGGATAATTTTTTTCGCTCACTGATAAAAATGTTTCTTCAGTTAAACATTATTTCTAAAAGTGTTCTGGTGCGATTCGTTGTATTGTTATTATTTTGTTTAAAATGGCTCACAATAACTACAATAATGATTACACATTCGGCGAAATGACGGACATGCACTTATGTTTTGGACTCGCTTCTGGAAATGCCAATGAAGCTCGCAGACTTTATCAGGAGCGCTTTCCAAATAGGCATCTTCCATGCGCTAAGACGTTTTCTAGAATTGACGATAGACTTCGGGAAACTGGTACATTTAAGAAAAACTCTAGTAACAGTGGAAGACAAAATTATGTGAGAACTCCTGCTTTGGAAGAAGCAATTTTGGATAGGGTAGCTGAAACCCCATCGACAAGTACCAGAAAAATAGCAAATGGTAAGTAATTACTTATTTATTATTTTAGCTACCCCGTACCTTATCGTATAAAACTAGTTTTTTTACTTGTTATTGCTTCTCTTACATTTCACGACTTTTCGTATCGAAAAGAGTTGCGTTATGCAGAAAAAATCTGATTTCCCAAATCAATGGATTCTCTTTCTTAACTATTCACTACACAGATTCTCTCATTTAATTTCAGAAGTGGGAGTCGGACGTAACACGGTATGGAAAGTTTTGCGTGAACAACAATTGTACCCTTACCACATTCAAAAAGTTCAGGCACTTAAAGCTACTGATTATGAGCCGCGAGTTATCTTTTCTGAATGGTTTCTTGGAAGATGTAATCAAGATGCAATGTTTCTTAATTAAGTGCTATTTACCGATGAAGCTGGTTTCACTAGAGATGGTATAATAAATTTTCGAAATATGCATGAATGGGCTGAAGATAACCCTCACGCGGTTGTTGAACGTCACCACCAGGATAAATTTTCAATAAACGTCTGGGCTGGAGTTATTGATAATTACCTTATTGGACCATTTGTTTTGCCGAATAGGTTAAATGGAGCAGCATACAGGCTTTTTTTGGAAAATAACTTACATGAGCTTCTTGATAATATTCCGATTCAAATCAGACATAACATGTGGTTTATGCATGATGGAGCTCCACCACATTACAGCCTTGAAGCTAGACAGCACCTTAACGAAAGATTTGAGGGTAGAGTAATTGGCTGAGGTTGTCCTGTTAACTGGCCACCTCGTTCACCAGATCTAAATCCAATGGATTTTTTTGTTTGGGGTTATTTAAAATCATTGGTTTATTCCAGTCCTGTTGAAACAGTTGAAGAATTGGAAGAACGAGTTTTTCATCATTGCGAAGTTCTTAGGAATAATCCTGAAGTATTTTTTCGTGTAAGACAGTCTATGATGCGACGGTTGCGCTTGTGTGTGGAAACCAATGGTCGCCACATTGAGCATCTGCTTTAATTTTTTTTGATTTGTTTTTTTAGAATAAATATTTTTTTAAACCGTTTCTTATTATTAAATAAAAATAGTCCCACCACGACATTTAAACTACAATTATTTAGAGAGAGCTAAAAAAGTTATTTTTATTTACGAGATTCACCGAGGTAATTTAGGAAAATTGAAAATTAAGCTAAAGTGGACGAATATCTTTGGATGATGTTTTCTCGGAAACGGCTGCTCCAATCGAGATCAAACAAGTATTCCTTTTTGACGTAGTTTTCAATGTAGAATGTAAAAAAAAATATGGATAAGTCATTACCAAAAACACAAAAAAGTTATGAATAATCAAAATTTTCAAAAAATTCCCAAGTACACCCCTGACGAAATAATTTCTTTTTGAAGGTGTCAAAAGGTCACTATTATTGATCATATTTAACAGCCAAAATTTGGTTCTTTTATTTGTTTCCATTTTTAAGAAAATTCAAAAAATCAAAATAAAAAAAATGATTTCGAGAGGCTGTTGCTCGCTTAGGGGGCACTTTAGGACATAGGTCTATAGGAACTTTTTTTCCATTTTTTGGTTAAGGAATCTGCCTGAGAATTTTGGGACACATTTTAAAGGACACCCTGTATATAACTCCACATAGTAGTTTTTTAGTTAATACAATTAATATAGATTATCATATCCTTTTTAACCTATTTCAAAAAGGAGGAGGTTCTCAATTCGTCTATATATATTTTTTTTATGTATGTTCAGCGATCATTCTTTAACACAATATCCGATTTAAATGATTCTTTTTGGCTGGAAAGGGGGTATTTCCGGGATGGTCCCATATAAATTTGGTCAAAATCTAATAATTGGATCCATGAGAAAATTCTCAAACTTTTCATTTTTTATGTATGTTTAGCGATAATTCTTTATCACCTTGTCCGATTTCTATAATTCTTTTCGTTAGTAAGGGGGTACCTCAGGGGTGATCCCATATAAATTTGGTTAAGATGTGGTGATGGAATCTGCGCGATTTTAAAGTTGGTTTTTTAAAATTACTTTTAATACATGTTATGTAAATTAAAAGTTTAATAATTTGGTGCTTTCTTGATGCGTCGTTTTATGATTTTACTTTGTATATATATGTTTAAGTACAGATAATTATTATTACTGACAATTTATTTTAAATCATTAAAATAAAATTTTGTTGATCCAAAAAAGGCAAACAAAAAAGCCATGTCACATTCAGTGTAATAATAAAAATTAGATATATAAATATATTATATTATGTACCAACAGACTAAACTTTCACTTTCAATCCCGCCCTTTTGTCGTAAAAGACTTCTAAATTTTTACTAGTGACGTCCGTACCTGGTTTGAACGGAATATTTTTGAACAAAAATATGGTACGCCACTGCTTTTTCTAAAAACCAAAATTATCTTTAAAATCCTTATTTATTTTGAAGCAAATTTGGTTTATAGACGTACTTTCGTACGACGCACCCTTTTTGCGTAAGAAAATAAAAACCAGTTTATTGAAACTGCTTTTGATATTTTGTTGAAATTTGGTAGAAACCCACTATGAGTGGAAACACTTTTTTTTGGGCAAAATTTTATAAAAATATCTAGAGTGATAAGAAACTTATGATAAAATAGTTATTTTTTTCCTAAAACTTTAACACCCAAGGATTCACACCCTTAAGTATCGGCACTCAATTAATAAATACCATGTATTAATTGATATTACCTTATTCGAACCAATCGTCTATTTTTTCGTTATTTGTATTTATATTTAACAACTCTTTACTCCTAAATGTAATTTAATCTAACTAAACCTATTCACTAAATTAAAATATAAAAATAATGTAAAACCCTCTAAAAAATCGAACTGCGTTGTAACAATATCTCGCAATGCACCAAGAGAAACAAATACAATTCTGGTTCCCCTAATTTAGGTAACTCTGACCCACTCAAGAACGTCGGCAGCCGAGGTAGGATTTTCCTTTGTCTCAACTACACGCGTTAGAGTTTGGAATACGTATCCCTCGTATCTACATGCAATTGTTAAAATTATGAATGAATGCGGATTTTGTTTAGTCTCGGAAGTAATTTTGTAGTATTTAGGCTCCACCCTTAAGTTGTAATTTTTATACCTACTAAACTACCGTTGCCCCGCAGGTCTTTCAGTTTGTAATGTAAATTTTCCTCTTAAGGTAGTTCACTCGTGAAACAGCTTTTCTTAAGAATAAAATTTAAATATAAGGTTTATGAAAGTGTCG